TACAGCCTTGTGATATTAGAGGCTACCCAGAATCAACTGACAGTAGTAAAAATCCTGGTTGAGAAATTATCCCCAAAGATGATACGATTTTATCGTCCTGTACAAAGTTAACCAGTCTTACATATAATATGGATCCTTCCAAACTTTTAAATGAAGTATAATGTATATACAGGACAGTGTACTTATCATGGGCAACTAAAGAATTTTCACAAAATCACATTTTGTGAATATGCTATGATTTATTAATACATCGAACTGCTAATGAACATTTGAGTAGTCTCTAGTTTTTGGTTAATAAATACAGGGCTGCTATGAGTTTTCTTGTGCATACACTTTGGTTGACATTTCTTTTTTCTTTTTTTTTTTTTTTGAGACAGAGTCTCACTCTGTCACCAGTGCCAGGCTGGAGTGCAGTGGCGCAACCTCGGCTCACTGCAACCTCCACCTCCTAGGTTCAGGCAATTCTCCTGCCTCAGCATCCCGAGTAGCTGGGATTACAGGCATGCGCCACCATGCCCAGCTAATGTTTTATATTTTTAGTAGAGACGGGGTTTCACCATGTTGACCAGGATGGTCTCAATCTCTTGACCTCGTGATCCACCTGCCTCGGCCTCCCAAAGTGCTGGGATTACAGGCTTGAGCCACTGCGCCCAGCTTTGGTTGACATTTCTACGATTTTCTGTTGGTCATACACCTGGGAGTGAAATTACTGAGTCATAAGATATGTATTTGTTCCTCAGCAGTAGTTACTGCCACACAGCATGGTTCTACTAATATGTAATTCCAGTGGGAATGTTTGAGATTTCCAGTTGCTGGAAGGCTTTACCAACATTTAACATTTCCCCTTCTTAATTTTCACCATTCTGGTAACAGTGTCCTGAAATCTCGTGCTTGCTTTAATTGAATTTCCCCGATGGCTAGTGAAGTTGAACACTTTTTCAAATATTTATTGGCTATTTAAATATTTTCTTTTGTTAAGGATCTGTTCAATCTTTTGTTTATATTTCTAGTGGGTTATCTGGATTTTTCTTACTGATTTGCAGTGGTTTTTAATGCCTTCTGGGTAAGAACACTTTGTCAGCAATATCTATTACAAATACCTGCTTCAACTCTGTGGATTGCATTTCATTTCCTTAATGGTGTCTTTGGAGGAACACGCTTTGATTTATAAATAGTCTTTCTTTGATGATTAGAATATTTTGTGTCTGTTTTACAACTATTTGCCTATTCCAAAGTCATGAAGATTTTCTTCTATGCTTTTCTTTTAAGGCTTTATTGTTTTACTTTTCACATTTAGATCTGCAGTCCAAAAATTAAGATTTGCATATGTATTAAGTAGTGGCTCAAGGTTCAATTTTCATTTCTCCATTTGCCTATCCAAATGATTCAGTGCCATTTAGAGAAATGAATACTCTTTTCTCTCTTTACTTCAGTGTCATGCTGGGCATAAATCAGGTAACCATGTATGTATGAGTCTTTTTCTGAACTATTTATTCTATTACATTGGTCACTTGGTATAAATTTTCACTGAAATGCTCTCCTAATTACTATAGCCCTAAAATAAGATGATATCTGGTAGGCTTAAGTCTTTATTATTCCTCAAGATTGCCATAGCTATTCTTTGCAGTTTACATTTGCAGGTGAATTTTGAAATCACCTGTCAATTCTTACAAAATACCAACAGTGATTTTGATTGGGATTGCAATTAATTTACAAATTCAATTTGGGAAAAACTGACTTCTTTACAATATCGAATCTTTCAATTATTGAACATGCTACACTATATATCTCCGTTTATAAGATATTCTTTAACTTCTCTTGGTAATTTTTATAATTTTTCAGTGTGGAGAACTTACATGTTTTTTATATTTTCAGAGGAATCACTGGCAGCAATAGCATTATTTTTAGGTGGTTACTATTTTTAGTGTGATTGTAGATGATATAATTTTTGAAACATTTCATTTATGACTTGTTTGTTGATTGAAATAAAGGTGATTTTTACATTGACATTTTATTCACTGACACTGTTAAACTCACTTACTGATTTTAATAATCTGTACAAGTTTGTGAATATTCCAGAACAAACATACCATCTGCAAATAATGAAATTAATTTTTGAAGGGTGGTTTCGCTGGGTAAGAATCCTTGATTGACAGTTTAGCTTTCTTTAGGTGCTTAGAATATGTCGTTCCAATGCCTTTTGGCCTCCATACTTTCTTGTGAGAATTCAGTTGCTAATCACATCATTGTATTAGCATGTGATGGGTCATTTTTTCTCAAGCTGCTCTCAGGATCTTTTCTTTATCACTGGCTTTTAACAATTTGATTATGATTTGCCCAAGTGTGGCCTTCTTTGTGATTATTCTTTGTTGGGTTGTGTTGAGCTTGTTGAATATGTAAATTAATATTTTTCACTATTTGAAAAGTTGTCAGTCATTATTCCTTCAAATATTTTTTTACCCCTCTCTCCCCGTCCTTTCCTTCTGGGATTTTAATTACATATATTTTGGTAGCTTAATATTATTTCACAAGTTTCCAGGGGCTCTGTTTATTTTTCCACAGTCCTTTTTTCTTTGTGATCTTTCAACTGTGTACTCACTAGTTCTTTCTTGTTCTATCACTAATCTGCTCTGGGTATCACCTTGTAAATTTTAAAATTCTAACGATTGTTCTTTCTAGCTGTTTTTAAACATTATATAGCTTCCTGTTCTCTGTCAAAGATTTTATATTTGTTCACTCATCAATATCTTACTCACGCATACATAGTTACCTGATTTATGCCCAACATAACACTGAAATGAAGAGAGAAAAGAGTATTCATTTCTCTAAATGGCACTGAATCATTTGGATAGTTAAATGGAGAAATGAAAATTGAACCTTCAGCCATGTTTCTTTTACTTTTTTGAGCATATTGATATATGACATCTGGACCTACTCAGAGTCACCTACATTTTTGAAGCCCATTTTTTTTTAAGATGTAGAATTCTAGTTTTGCAATTATTTTCCACTCACATGTTAAATATGTGATAGATGTATCTCAGAGATATTGTGAATTTGCTTCCAAACCACCGCAATAAATTAAATATTGCAATAAAGCAAGTCACAATTTTCTTTTGGTTAACCATTGCATGTAAAAGTTATGTTTACACTATACTGTAGTTTATTAAATGTACAGTAGCTTTATATTTAAAAAACAATGTACATATCTTAATTAAAAATACTTTTCACTTAAAAATGCTAACAATTATCTGAGGCTTCAGTAAGTTGTAACCTTTTTGCTAGTGGGAGGTCTACCCTTGATGCTGATGACGCTGACTGACCAGGGCGGTGGCTGCAGAAGGTTGGGATAGCTGTGGCAATTTCTTAAAATAAGACAACAATTAACCATGCCACAGCAATCAACTCTTCTCGAAAGATTTCTGTGTAGCATGTGATGATATTTGATAACATTTTACCCAAAGTAGAACTTATTTCAAGACTGGAGTCAGTGCTTTCAAACCCTGACATTGCCTCCTCAATTTAGTTTAGGTAATATTCAGAATCCTTTTGATATGGTTTAGCTCTGTATACCCACCCAAATCTCAAGTCAAATTGTAATTCCCACACATCAGGGGAGGGACCTGGTGGGAAGTGACTGGATCATGGGAGCTGTTCTCATGATAGTGAGTGTGAGTTCTCATGAGATTTGATGATTTTAAAATGTGGCATGTTCCCCCTTGCTCTCTCTCTCTCACCTGCCACCATGTAAGATGTGCCTTTCTTCTTCTTCACCTTCTGCTGGAGCGGCTTCCTGAAGCCACTCCAGCCATGCAGAACTGTTGGTCAATCAAACCTCTTTTCTTCATAAATTACTCAGTTTCAGGTGGTTCTTTCTAGCAGTGTGAAAATGGACTCATACACCTTTGTTATCATTTCAATAATGTTCACAGCATCTTCACCAGGAGTGGATTCCATGTCAAGAAATCACTTTCTTTGCTCAATCATAAGAAACAACTGCTCATTTATCCAAATTTTGCCATGAGATTGCAGCAATTGATTCTACCTTCAGGCTCCACTTTTAATTCTAGTTCTTTTGCTATTTTCACAATGTCTGCAGTGACTTTCTCTACTAAAGTCTTGAACCCCTTAAAGTCATCCAAGAGCGTTGGAGTCAACATCTCCCAAACTACTGTTAATGTTGATACGGTGACCTCCTCTCATTTACCATGAATGTTCTTAATGGCATCTAGAATGGTGAATCCCTTCCAGAAAGTCTTCCATTTACTTTGCCCAGCTCCATCAGAAAAATCACTATCTATGGCAGCTATAGCCTTACAAAATGCATTTCTTAAATAATAAGAATTGAAAGTCAAAACTACTTCTTGATCTAATGGAAATTGTGTTAGCAGGCATGATAAAACACAAATCTCTTTTACATCTCCATCAAAGCCCTTGGATGACCAGGTCCATTGTCAATGAACAGTAATATCTTTACAGGAATCTTTTTTTTTTTTTTTTTCCTAACCAGTAGCTCTCCACAGTGGGCTTAACATATTCAGTAAATCATGCTGTAAACAAATGTGCTGCAATTCAGGCCTTGTTATTAAGTTTATAGAGCATAGGTAGAGTAGATTTAGCATAATTTTTGAAATGACAAATGGGCATTGGCTTCAACTTAGAGTCACCAGCTGTATTAGCTCCTAACGAGAAAGTCAGCTTGTCCTTCGAAGCTTTGAAAGTAGATATTGACTTCTTTTCTCTGCTATGAAAGTCCTAGTATGTTCTTTCAACAGAAGGCTGCTTTGTCTACATTGCAAATCTGTTGCTTCCTGTAGCCACCTTCATCAATGGTCTTACCTACATCTGTGTAACTTGCTGCAGCTTCTACATTAATATTTGGTGCTTCACCTTGAACTTTTATGTTATGAAGATGACTTCTTTCCTTAAATCTCATGCACCAACCTCTGCTAGCTTCCAGCTTTTCTTTTGCAGCTTCCTTACCTCTCTCAGGCTTCCTAAAATTGAAGGGTTAGGGCCTTGCTCTGTGTTAGGCTTTGGTTTAAGAGAATGTTGGGTCTGATTTGATCTATTACTGACACCACTGAAACTTTCTCCATAGCCACAGTAAGGCTATTTTGCTTTCTGATCATTTGCGTGTTCACTGGACTAGCACTTTTAATGTCCTTCAAGAATTTTTCCTTTGTACTCACGCCTTTTCTGTTTGGTGCCAGAGGCCTAGCTTTCATCCCATCTTGGCTTTTAACATGCCTAACTAAGCTTCATTATTTCTTGTTTTTTATTTAAAGTGAGAGAATTGTGACTCTTCTTTGACCACTTAAAGGCGATTGCAGGGCTTTTAATTGATGTAATTTCAATATTGTTGCATCTCAGAGAATAGGAATGAGAGAGAGAGACGGGGGAGTAGCTGGTCTGTGGGGCAATCAAGACACGTACAACATTTGTTAAGTTTGCTGTCTCCTGAGTGTAGTTTGTGTCACCTCAAAACAATTACAACAGTAACATCAGAGATTGCTGATTGCAGATCACCCTAACATATAATAGTAATGCGGTTTAAAATAGCGCAGGAATTACCAAAATGTGACACAGAGATATGAAGTTAGCATATACTGTTGGAAAAATGGAGCTGGTAGACCTGCCAGGGGCAGGGTCCACAAAGTTCAATTTTTAAAACAGAACAACAAAACCAAACAAAAACTCCACAATATCTGTGAGGCACAATAACGCAAAGTGACATAAAATGAGGTCTGTTTATAACTTCTTGTCTTCTGGTTTTCGCTGTTTCTATCAAGGCAACAGCTGTAAGTCTTTCTCTGAATGACATATGCCTTTGTTTCTCTGACTGCTTTGTAACTGTTGTTATTTTGTCTTTGATTTTCAAGAGTTTTATTAAGATGGGTCACTATGTAATTATCTTTGGTTTATCTTTTTTTTTTTTTTTTAATTTGGCCTTCTAGTCCCTGTTCCCTTCTTCATCACCACCACCACCTACCATGAGGAGTTTTGGCTGCAGGAACCTAGATTCCCACAAAGATTCTACGTTGGGGATATGTAATAACAAATAAGTCCGTCAGATCAAATATTATTTTCCCACCAACTTGGAATTTGCTAAGCCCCATGAACAAGTGGTTCATTAGTTCTGAAAAAAACTGGCCACTATCTCTTCAACCATTTCTTCTGACTTGCTCTTTTCATCTTCTTCTAAGATTAATTATACATATGTTAGACTTCTTAAGTATATCACACATCTCTTATGCTCTTTTTATTTTTTCTCTCTATGCATTGGTTTAGATATTTTCTGTTAAACTACCTCCGCATTTGTTGACCCTGTGCTCTGCTGTGTTTAATCAGCTGTTAATCCAACAACTGCATTTTCACTTTAGCTATTGTATTTTTCAGTTCTAGATTGTCTATTAGATTCCTTTTTATAGATTTCAATTTATTGTTGGTATTTTTTTAATCTGTTTAGTTCATGTTTCCCCCCATTTTCCTGAGGACATTAATCTCAGTTATTTTACTGTCTTAGTTTGCTAACTATAATCACTTGATTATATGTGAGTTGCTTCCGTATTCTGACTGATCGTTAGCCATATTTTCTTGTCTCTTTGCTAGATTTTAAATTTTGCTGGACAATGTGTGTGAGAGGACAATAGAGGCTTCAGCTAATGTTATTATTGATCAGAGAGAGTTCCCTCCTTTTCTGTTCCACAGATGGAATGAGGTGTTGGTAAACTAAATCCGATAAGAATTTGCCATTTTAGAAAAACATATTAGACCTTGGTTTACTTGTGTTTCTCTACTGAGGCTTTTCTGGGCTTTTCATAGAGAGTCTTGTGAGTCTCTGCTGCCTTAGTTCCAAAAAAAATGTGGGAGAACCAGATATACCTTCCAGAGATTCACAGCCCAGCTCTCAAGTGATCAGTCTCATAGAGATGAAAAATCTGGCAAGTGTTTTGATGGAAAACAGTTTATGTGCTTCAGGTAGGGCTTCTTCTTCTAGTAGTTTTTTTTAAAAATAAATCACCAATCTTTAACAGCATATTGGATAGCCTATGAATGTATGAACTTGACAGGCATTGCCTCTTTATGGTTCACAGTTTTTAAAATACATTCACTTTACTGGCCATTATCCTCTGAAAGCTGATTTTGTAATCTTGATAAAGTGAAAGTGGATTTTGTAATCTTGATAAAGTGGAAATCAACAAGATGGCTTCATGGATAATGTATCCTTTTTTCTCTTTTGGAAAATTATAATACTATTTTACATATTTATGAGGTACATGTGATATTTTGTTGTAGTCATAGAATGTGTAATCAACAAGTCAGAATATGTGGAGTATCTATCACCTTGAGCATTTACCATTTTTATGTGTTGGGAATCTGGTTATAAAGAAGTTTTATTCAAAATCATCTTTGTTAAAGTTTTAACACTGAAGCAAAAGTCAAATATTCCTATATGAGATACAAGCTATTCTTGCTAACAGTACAAATTCTGTCCTATGGGTATTAGCGTTTTCAGGTTTTTCCCTTTCTATGAAACCATTGAAAGGAAAGCTTTAGTATGCGATAACTCAGAGGCTACTTCGTACATGTCATTTTATAAACAAACATTTTGACAAGTTGTATATGCAGGCCATAATCAAGTCATTATCTCTTATGTCAAAGACCTATTATTATTCACGGATTCAGAAAATTCATTTTATGTGTGTGTTACCAGGTTGCAGTAAGCCAACAAACACAGAACAGGTTAATAGAAATATATATATTTTCTTATCAGGTATTTTTTTTATTAGAGCAGGATACATACATATACACGCATACACATATATGTGCATATATGTATGTATATTTCTATTGATATAATATTCTAGAAAATGCAAACTAATCACCAGTATCAGAAAGGCAGATCAGTCGTGGTCTGGGGAGGGGCAGGAGAGATGAATTACAAAGGGGTATGAGAAAATTTTAGGGTGGTAGACAAATTCACTATTTTGGTGGTGGTGATGGTTTAATGGGCTTATCCATATGACAATACTTAACAGATATTCCAGTTCACAGCTGTTTCCTATGAGTTTAACCTTTGAGTTTTAGGCCCCTCCCCCAATGCAGTGTCCTTTCTCATTGCCACATCATAAACCAGTTTTTCCCCTGAGTCACCCACATACAATTCTTGCACAGCAAGTCATGATGGTACTCTGTGTGTGTGTGTGTGTGTGTGTGTGTGTGTGTGTGTGTGTACACACGTGTAGTAGTGATGGGAAAAAGAAAACAAAACACCCAACTTGTGTTGTGGCAAAAAGAGGTTGCAGTGATGGTAATGAATGAACGAAAGAAAACCAATTTATCTGTTAGGAAAAAACTTCCGCTTGCTTAAAAATTCTGTTTCACCTGATGAAGTTTCACTATAAAATGTTTTCTTTTTCTTTAAAAACAAGAAGATGAGAGGACAATAATTATTTTAAAAATTTTACATTAAAGAATACTGGAAACTTACAAAGAATAAATGGAATGTGTAAGGCCCATATAAGGCCTTAAGTTGAAAACAACATGCACCCATGAACTTGTTAAGTAACTTGATAAACAGAACACAATCAACATCCTTTAAATTTTCTGTATACCTCTCATTCTACCTCCTTGCTTCCCCCGAGACAGCTACTCTCCTGAACGTTAGCGTTTCTATAGTGTTAGCATTTATGTTTGCCTACGAAAAAATACATTATTTTGCTTCATTTAAAAATTTTTATAAAAATAATATGCTGTTCTTCCTTTTTTCATTTTATGTTTTGTTTTTAAGTGATATCTGTGTCGATATATGTAGCATAACTTAGTTTTCACACTGTGTCCTATTTAGCGGTGTAAATACACTGTAACTGATGTATTCATTTTTCAATCAATGAATTTGGGGACTTTTACTGGATTTTTGCTATTATGAAAAATGTTTCTCTGAGTGTTCTTGTACTCACCTCATAGGGTGTGTACTCTAATATTCTTTAGACAAAGTATAAGCTGAATCTTCAGGTAGGCACATGTTCAAATTGTTTTCCAAAGTGATTGCAACGATTTATATCACATCAAACAGAGTTTCTACTTGTTGCCAACATCTGGTTTGTTAGGCTTTAAAGATTTTTGCTTACCTAGGAAATGTAAAATAGTTTCTCTGTAGCGTTTCTGATTTCCTTGGGTTTTTAAGTTAGGTATCTTTTCATTTAGTTTATTGGCCTTTCAGGTTTTCTCTCCTGTAAAATGCCTGTTTTTGTCTTTTTTGTGTATTTAACACTTATTTTTTTCTTCCGAAGTGAATTGAGGCATTCTGCATGTTTGTGTTACTAATTCTCTATAAGTTATTTGTGTCATAAATATCTTCCTCTTCTGGCTTGTCTTTTTTTTTAATGATTTTTTTTTTGATGAGTAGAAGTTTTTAGTAATAATGTAGGCAAATTTATTAATCTCTCTATATTTTTAAAGCCTTTGAGTCTTTTTAAAACTTTTAATTTTACCATTATGATAATTTCTTATTTTAGATAAATATATTCTTTTGTATTTTATTCTTTTTTAATTTTTATTTTTTAATTAATTTATTTTACTTGAGGTGCATACTATATCTGGCATTTCTCCCCATGTTATCCCTCCCCTACCTCTCCACTCCGCCACTGTCTCTCCCCTACCCATCCCAACTGCCCCCAGTGTGTGATGCTCCTCTCCCCAAGTCCACGTGTTCTCGTTGTTCAACACCCACCTATGAGTGAGAACATACAGTGTTTGGCTTTCTGATCTTGTGTCAGTTTGCTGAGAATGATGAGAGCGAACTCCCATTCACAATTGCTACAAAGAGAATAAAATACCTAGGAATATAACTAACAAAGGATGTAAAGGACCTCTTCAAGGAGAACCAGAAACCACTGTATTTTATTCTTAAAGATGGGAAGTCTTGCCTTAGTATGAGATTCATTTGAAGCAGATCTTTTTTCTTTTCTGCATGGGATGAAATAAGGAACCAATTCTGTTTACTCAGATATGCTTTGCCAGTTGTCCCAGAAATTGTTATTAAACAATGCGCATTGCCACCTCTGTCATATACTAACTTTCCATTCGTATTTGTCAGGATAGAAAACATTACAATGAAGTAGCAAAGCTTGAAATCTCAGTGACTTAGTACAACAAAAGTTTATTTCTCACACTTGTTAAGTCTGAAGTTGGTCATTGGCTCTTTTTGGTGGTTCTCTTAGAATGGTGACCTTATTGGGGATCCGGGCCACTTCCTTCCTGGAACCCTACAAGCTGGGAATTATTTCCTTCCATAGCTTCACGTATAGGAGAAAGATAGGAATGATGGCAACTCACATGAGCTCTTAAATGCTCTGGACCAGTGGCTTGGCCCCAACTATAAACAAGGGAGGCTGTCAAATTTGGGGAGCATATATACATTTTTAATGAGCATTAATTATCTCTGCCATATCATCTAAGTGTGGACCTCTTTCTGGTTTCCCTATTCTGTTCACGGTCTATTTGTATATCCTTGCAACAATTCCTTAATTGCCAAAGCTTTGTAATACGTTTTGATATCTGTTTGCACAAGTCCCTCATCAAGAAATATTGATGAAAGGAAAAAGACCATAAAATATTAGGAATGAACAGGGATGTATAACTATGGACATGGCAATATTTAAAGATAAGAGAACACCAAAAGTGACTTTAAGCCGATACATTTGAAATTTTAGTTCAAAGAACAAATTCCAAGGAAAACATAAGACTAAAGAAAAAATAAAAAATCAGAATAGTTTCATACAATATTAAATATTTGATTCCACAAAGAATAGCTTGTACAAAGAAAATAGTTTCTACAAAGAAAATAATTTACCTGAATGATATTTCAGTGAGTTCTACCAAATATTCAAGCAATAGATAACATCAATCTTAAAAATTTAAAAGAAATGCATTCTAGTATATTCTATGAAGCTGGAATAACATCAACACCAAAACCAGAAAATCCCATTATAAGAAAATAAAATTGTATTTCAACCTCGAGGTACAAATCTTAAAATAAAATAAAATAAAATTATCACTGTATAACCTGTAGTGATTTTAAAAAGATGAGAATTCATTACCATGTTAGGATTATCCCAGATATAAGGATGGCTTAATCTCAGACAACCTATTAATATTCTATATCATATATAGAGTAAGGGAAAAACTGAAATTAATAGATGCAAAAATCATTTTTCATAGTATCCAATATCTGTTCTTGATACTCTCTTGGGAAACCAGGAAGAGAGGAGGTCATTCTTAACTCGATAAATGATGTCTGCCAAAAACCTAGAAGTAAATTTTGTACTCTGTAAAACACCTGTTCTCTTTAAATCAGGAGCAATACAAGAATTATTATTACCAATTATTTTATTTAATGTTTTACTGGAGTTGCTGGCCAATGGAGCAAGATAAGAAAATGACAAAAGTAAAAAGCACTGTAATAAAATGAATAGAGATGTTATTATTTGAAAATAATATGACCTGTCTACATGGTAAACCCACCAAAAAAATGCCTGTTTTTTACTGTTGAGAAGCTAGGTCATATTTGACAATGAAGAATTCTGGAATAAGTTGTGTTTCATCAAATCCCTATTTAATTGCATAGTACATAGCACTGGAACTAATGAGTATGAGAGCCATGCAATAGCATAAAAACTACTTGTTAAGTCAAAAGGGATTATAAAGTCTTATGTGCATAGAAAAAAAGAGTAGATGTGAAGATTGCAAAATGCTGAAAGGAGCTAGGTGGCAAGATCATGAATTAATTTTCCATCTTTTCTTTACGTCCTATATCTTTTGTGTTGCGGCTGCGTATTTTTTATAATAAAAGTATTTTTAAAATCTGTACTAATGAGAAGCTTTGGAATCTTCCTGCAGATTTAGTGATGCCCGTTGACTTGTGTCACAGAGCTGTTGAAGACAATACAGTTTCACCTAACATTTAACTGCACAGTAAGTCAGGCGCATTTATTGGGTTGTGGCTCATACTTAGAGCCTGACATATAGTGAACACCAGTAATACATCATCTTACCTTACTAAACACATTAACTTCCTTATTCACTGAAATAACTGAAAATGGCACTACACCCAAAGTTCACAGAAATGTACATCGAGGCACTGGGATACAGTAAAAGAGAAGAAAATGGAGATAAACAAAGTCTGTAGATCCAAATCCCAGTCTTGGCTTTCCCATGCTAGGCTTGGTTTCCTATTTCAAAATGTGAATAGTAAGAAAGTGCCATGTTTATAACATTGATTTGTCATGAGGGCAAAATGAAGAACCCCAAGACTCAACCCCCAAATTAGAGGGCCTAGAAGAGATGGTAGAAGCAGTTTCCATTGGATGTTCATACCTGTCCAAGTGCCCTTTGTTTGAGTTATTCCAGGGACGGGACAAACACTGTCTCTGCATTGCTGAGTGCTTCATCTATTGTCATGAAGGGTTTTTTTACATTGGCCTATCCAATGTCTACCCCATTGCCCTCATTCCATCTCTGGGTTAGGGTACCATGGTTCCTAGCATAGCCTGGTCACTTCCGGGTGTGCAGATATCAATCCCCATAGCCTAAGGGCCAGTGGGAGAGCTTAGCTGGTCTTCTTTGTCCATGAACAGTCTTTGTTATTGTTTTCTCTGCATGCCACGACAGGAGAATGTCTGAGGGCATTCTCCAGGGACAACCCTCCTTCGTATCAGAAGGTACGCTTCCACCAGGGCAGCTAAGCACACAGCCTCCTACCACACATGATTCATGGTGGACATCTTAGTCAGTCCAGACTCTGGTATTTGTTTGGTTTTGTTTTCCAGCAGTGCTTTGCATTTTCATATGCCCTGTCCTGTACTTAACAATATGAGGTTAGGGAAATAAGAATGGGATTTTAGATTTGTCTGTATTAAGTCTCACGATGTCAGATTTGGCCTATGGTTCTATCTTAATGGCATCTTTTGGGATCCTGATTTGCTCTCTCAGTGAATTCACAGTCCATTTCAACTCCAGGATTCCCAGAATGCGGCAAGCTTGCCCGTTCTGCCCTTCTGCTGTAGAAACCTGTTCTACACCTCCCAACTCCCTCCTCAACCCCTGCCTTGGCCTTGAGGCATTCTCCTTTCCTGCATCATGGCCTCCAGGAATATTACCACACACCGTCTACACATCATCTGGTTCTTTTGGCCAATGCTCACTTGACAAGTTTTTTGGGCTTCAGTTTCCAGTACTGCGTTCTAAATTTGTATTTGTTTTCTTGGGAAAATGTATTCCTTATTCCTTACCCTCCCTTGTTTCCTGCATTCCTCTGCTCTGTACTTTCCACAATTGAAGAGTGCCATGACCATGTCCATACCCAGCCTGGCTGTCTCTTTTCTGGGAGGAGAGGTCAGCTCCATACCTGAGAGCCAGGAGGATGGAACCAAGTTCTAGATGGAACCAACCTGGAACTGAGTGTGAGGCTTGCCAGTAGAGCACACTGTTCAGATTGACCCATTTACCATTGAGTACGGGTGTTTATACATGTAACCAACTCTACTAACCATATTCTTCGTTTTGCTCACAAGACAGATATTTGTGGATACTTACATGAAGTTCTGATTCACTAAATTCACAGCATTTAGCGGTGGTAATCTCACCATCTAATAACCCCATCAAACAAAAGATTGTATGAGCTTCACCAGACCTCGCTTGTTCTTAGTCAGTTCATGCTTTCTTTTGGCAATTGCAGCTTCACTAAGTGCTGAAAGGCTATCCCTGTCATCATTCATCTAGAATCGTTCCCATTCCCTCATCTGTGCTTGCAAAATCTTTTAAACTCGGTGATGGATGTGGAAACTGTCTGGAGGTATGAAGAATTAAGGCATGGCATTCTCCCCAGAGGTCTGATAGAAAGCTGAAGACACAGTGCAGTCTGGAAGAGTCATAGGGATGATCTGACTTGGTCATGTACCATTGCCTGGAGCAGGAGTATGATCAGCAGGCAGGCACTCAAGCTAGATCCTTAGGGCCTCACCACAAAGGTTACCAGGCAGCCATCAGGCACAGCCTGGTTACTTTTCTAGCATAAAGAGACAAAGGTTAAACTAATGGAATGGTTCACACTGGAAAGCATTTTGGAGATCAGGTCGACTAGCGCTTACTGTGTTACTGTGCACCCAAGTCACCCAGGAAGCTTAGTCAAATGTGAATTCAAATTCAGTGGTTCTGGGGTGGGCCCTAATGTTCTGCATTTCCACCATGTTCCCTGGTGATGCCCTTGGCTCATGGGCCACACCTTGGGTCCCAAGAGTTTAGACTATACTGTTTTTTTTTTTTTTCAGATGTAGAAACTGAGATCCAGTGAGGTGAAGTGATTTTCCCAAAGACACATAGATGAAGATAGAGCTGTAGACACATAGATGAAGTTTACCTATAGACACATAGATGAAGTTTAACCCAGGTCTGCTGGCATCCAGTTTGGTGTCCCTCTAATTACAGAGTTGCTGGACCTAGGGTTTTAATGACCCATAGCATGTGAGGGGGAGTCAAGGTTAGATTCTAGGGATGCATATACTTGCACACACATACACACATGCTTGTGCACACACATGCACAAACATACTGTACATGCTTCTTCCTATTCTCCTTTCTCAGTTGGGAGGTATAAGAAACACATGGATTATAGCCACATTAAAGATATTCATAGATGCAAACCAATTCTGAATGTGTAAACTTTTCCATAAGAATATTCTGGGAAAATACATGACTTGTTTCTGACCTTTTCTGTATAAACAGACATTCTGGCATTCTACAAAGACCATGTTACTGATAAAATTATATTGGAATGACGTCTTCTGATAGTTTAAAGTTAAAAGCTCTGGGCTTGGCTCAGGGAATTCTATGCTGTAGCATTCATAAAGGACCCTAGAGTTTGGGAGATTATCCATTAACTTCTGATATTGAATTTTTGTTGCCAACTATGACTATTTGTTTTCCCTGAGCTCTGTAGGGGAACAACACAGCTGAAAAAACCCAGGCAAAGGTGAGTGGGTATGTGCGTGCATGTGGCGTGTGTGTGTGTGTTCACACGTGTTAACTAAACAGTGCAGATTCCTCAAATTTTTCTCCTTTTTGAGAAGTGGGAAGGAGGAAGAGACAAGAAATTGTCTGGAGTGAAAAAGAGGGCCAGAAAAATCCTTGAACTAATAATCTGCCAGTTAATCCAGCTGCTTGGTAATAGCCTGGCATGGGAAGGTCTTTTAGGTGCCCTCTGGAAAGGGTGCCAGGAAGTATGAGACAATGGCTGCTAGGAACTTGCATTGTTCCTGCACAGATAAGCCATATTGTCAAGTAAATTGCAGTGGATCCCTGGTAACACTTGAAGAGCAATGCAAGCCTGGGCTCCACCCCTGCCTGACTAAGGGAGCTTGAGGAAAGTACTTACATCATCTCAATCAGTTTCCTCACCTGTAAAATGGGCCTAAAGAATTTAAATTTCCATGCAAATCAAAACCATAATGAGATCATCTCACACCAGTCAAAATGGCTATTACTAAAAAGTCAAAAAATAAGAGACGCTACCAAGTCGCAAAGAAAAGGGAATGCTTACATACTGCCTGTGGGAATATAAATTAGTTTACCCACTCTGAAAGGCAGTTTGGTGATTTCTCAAAGAACTTAAAAAATACAACTACCGTTTGACTCAGCAATCCCATTATTGGGTATATTCCCCCAGGAATATAAATCATTCTACCACAAGGACATGATGTTCATTGCATCACTATTTCAATAGCAAAGACATGGAATCAACCTAAATGTCCATCAGGGTAGACTGGAAAAAGAAAATGTGGTACATGTACACCATGGAATACTATGCAGCCATAAAAAAGAACAAAATCATGTCTTTTGCAGCAACATGGATACAGCTGGAGGCCATTATTCTGAGAACTAACACAGAAACAGAAAATCAAATACTGCATGGTCTTGCTTATAAGTGAGAGTTAAACACTGAGTTTATATGGACACAAAGAAGGGAACCACAGACACAGGACCTACCTGAGGGTGGAGTGTGGGAGGAGAGTGAGGACTGAAACTACCTACAAGGTAGCATACTTATTACCTGTACAAAACAAGCTGTACACCAAGCCCCCTCAATACACAATTTACCTATATAACAAACCTGCATAAGCACCCCCGAACCTAAAATAAAATGAAAAATAAATAAGTAAATGAATAAATAATTTAAATTTTCTCAGATATGCCCTGGCACCTATTAAGTGCTCACTCTTGCTATCTCCGTTATCATCACAGAGAGAAGGCACAGAATCAGAGCTGGGAAAGTCACCCTATGATGCTTGAGCAGGGGTCTGCTTGAGTGAATGTTGATGAACACTGGAAAGAAGGGGAAGGGGCAAAGAGGAGGTGGGCTGTGTCATGCTGGGCAGGGTCACATTGACCAGGATAAGGAGTGGCAGTGGCAGAACTGAGGCTGCAGAGCACTGAAGCAGAGGTTGGAGCAGTGCCTCTTAGGGTCAGCAGGTGGCCCATCCAGGTGAGCACAAAGGGTTTTTGGAAACGGTAATAAGACCGATGATAGGACAGTGTGTGAGACCAGATGTCCCAGGGTCTTGAATGCTAGAATTGGAAGCTTGACTCTTCCTCCCTACACTGCAGAGTTTTGAGTAGCATCGTGATAGGCTGGACTGTTTCATATTAAGAATGTTCATCTGAGTGCAGGGCCAGGAGGGGTTATGAGAGAAATAAATGAGGTGGGCCAGGTGCGGTGACTCACGCCTGTAACCCCAGCACTTTGGGAGGCCGAGGCAGGTGGATCACCTGAGGCCAGGAGTTCAAGACCAGCCTGGTCAACATGGTGAAATCTTGTGTCTACCAAAAATACAAAAATTAGCTGGGCATGGTGGTGGGTGCCTGTAATCCCAGCTACTTGGGAGGCGGAGGCAGGATAATCGCTTGAAACTGGGAGGCAGAGATTGCAGTGAGCTAAGATCATGACATTGCACTCCAGCCTTGGTGACAGAGCAAGAAAAAAAAAAAAAAAAAGAGGAGGCTTTGCAGCACCAGCTCTCCTATGTGGATCTGGCTGCGTTTGTGGAAGCTGGAGTCTCTGGCTTTCCTCTTCCTGAGTGAGGGGTGATCAGTGGTCACCCCACCTCCAGGGTGTGGCGAAGGGAGGCTTCCAGAATTCTTAGGGCACATGGCAGGGGTGGTGGCACCATGAGAAGTGGGCACGGGGTCTGGGACACAAGCAGACCTGAATAAAGAGTTCCACAGCATTGCCTGGGCTGCCTCTAGAGAGATTGCTCTAAGGATTGGGAGGTAGGCAGAGAGGGAAAGCTTATGCTGCCACAGGCCTGGGACTGACTGGTCAAGACTCTGATGATGAGAATGTGATAATGAGCTGGACTCAGCCAGCAGGGCTTGTCCAGGTTCAACACAAAGTCATGAGAGGAAAGCATCAGCTTCGGGAAACATTAGAGGTTACCGTGCAGTGGCGGGTGCTGGTGTTTCTTAAGGGTCTGGCACGTTTGCTGAATGATTCTGGCTGTCTGCCGGGCTGAGCTTCCTGTTCATAGTTCCCCAGATAGTCACGGCCGAGGGATTAAAGCCCTAAGAGGCTCTGACACAGCCGTCTCCAAGACCCACTTTCTCCTTCCTTTGAGCCTCTGTAGCAGCTGGGGCACCCGGCAAGATGTGAGCTGTCACTCTGCTGTGGCACAGACCTGAATTAAAACTCTAGAGAGAGCTGACTTCAAAACGTACTTTCATTTTTAATAACCAGCATCAGCTCAGCCTGCTTCATTTGGGAAAAGAAACCTTGCTGGATTACCCTGACAGTCGCCACCTCGTAGGGGGCCAGCCGTTCCCAAATGCCCCAGGGATGAAGAACGCAGACGGTAAGATGATTAATTGCACTGTAGGTATTTTGTTTCTGTATTTTTTCCCTCCTTTTTTGGGTTTACTTACATGTTAATGAGGTATTTAGGAAAGACAAACTGAATCTGATAAAAGATAATGTTATGTTGTTTGTTGAAACAAGATCTTAAGGATTTCTTGAAGTTATATGGCTCTGTAGGGATGTTTAACTTTAAGATGCGTTTATGAGCCCTATTAAGAGATCAACTGTGATTATCTATGGATGATTATGAAATATATGGGAAATATACTTTATAAGTGTATATTATTTATAAACCATAAATAGTTACATGACTTTTGGTAGGTGAGAGATGTTAAGTGAAGGGCGTTTTAAATGAAGTTGTTTTATAAGACTGTTGTTACTGTTAAAATTGAAACTTATTTTATCACTTCCCATTAAGCTTCTGCAACATTAGAGAGGTGTAATCTCACCCAATGTTTGACTGAAAGTGTTATGTTTTGTTTCTGTGTTTTTTTTTGAGACGGAGTCTCACTCTGTCGTCCAGGTGGGAGTGCAATGGTGTGATCTTGGCTTATTGCAACCTCTGCCTCCTGGGCTCAAGTCATTCTCCTCCTACCTCAGCCTCCCAAGTAGCGGGGACTGCCGACGCGTGCCACCATGCCTGGCTAATTTTTTTTATTTTTAGTGGAGACGGGGTTTCACTGTGTTAGCCAGGATGGTCTCAGTTTCCTGATCTTGTGATCCACCCACCTTGGCCTCCCAAAGTTTTGGGATTACAGGCATGAGCCATTGCGCCCGGCCTGAAGGTGCTATGTTATTAATAACAGGTTCTATTGGTTTCATTTAAAGGGATAATGCAATGTGTTGGCAAAACTTGTACATACTTTCTTCAAAAAGGACTTCAAAGTTAATCTTAAAAGCTTGATCATGTTTTTCCCCCTCAGAAGCTTTGCCAGTGTTGCACCAATAGCTGTAGAGAAGACCATGCACTCTCAGAGGGAATTATAAACATTGTCTTGACCTTTTTATTGGATATCCTTGATCTCCATTTTTCCTATCAATAGTGTTGTTGTGCATAAGAATAAGAAAATGGGGCTGAACCTGAAACATTAAGGAAAGAAAATAACAAAACAGAAAAGGAGAACCAAATGAAGCTTTTCATTCAATTCAATTTATAACTCCTTACTGCTTATGCAAAATGTGAATTTCTCACTGTGTTGGTGAAGGTGTGAGGAGTGGACAGTGAAGAAGGATGCTTCAAAAAATACAGCTAAGGACCAACTGGTTTGGTGAATCATGGCATTCACCCACGAGACAGCTAGAGAACCGTGTGTGTGTGTATGTGTGTGTGTGTGTGTGTGTGTGCGTGTGCATTAGATGCAGAAGATTGGTGTTTACTGTAAATGTATTGATCTGTTAGCAAAAGGAAGAAGACAAGTCTGTCCAGAAAAAGCCAGGAAAACTTCTTGAGAGGAATTTGATTTGCCTAATGGTGGTGATGAGTTTAGAAAGATTCTTATGGCCTTTCCTAACACAACATGCTGTTGTTAATCATTGAACTGACAAACTCCATTGGGCACAAGCCTGTTAGTTTACTTAGGAGGAAAACCTGACAGGCATGGTCAAAGAACGGTGACGGTATACTTCTAAAATACGTTCTTGAGACATTTACACAAACAGCACAGGAACATTGTCAAGAATAAAATTTTAAGAAATACATAGAGATAATTTTTACAATGAATGAAAAGTAAAAACACACCACTGTGAGATAAACACTGTAAACATTTTGGTAGGTGTTTTTCTCTCTGAGTACATTTACATTTTGAAGAAATGTACTTGAACTCTACATGCTGTTTGGTTATCTCCTTTTACTTCTCAGTATGTATTATGAGCATCTTGTCATGACAGTGAATTTTGTTTTACAAAAGCTTTTCCATTTCATTGCATAGATAGTTTATAAAATCCTGTTGGCAGATATTTGGTTGTTTTTCTCTTATTAACAGTGCTAAAAATAACGCCCTTGCAGCTAAACCTTTGCAACTCTTCATGAGTTTTCCTTGAGGTAAATCCCCAGAGGTAGAATTGTGGGGTCAAAGGGCATGGGCATTTTAAAAACTCTAGATCTCTGCTGCTAAATTAATCCTAGGAAAGTTTTATTAATTTACATGCCCACCAGCACTGTATGAACATTTTCCAACACTCTCATCGGCATCGGATTTTATAATTTTTTTGAAAAGTGTGCTACTTTGATAATAGGCAAAGGGTATTTTGTTGTCTTAATTTACTTTAAGGAAACCCTTTGCAAAATGTGCTGACTTCCAATTCTGCCCCTTTAGGTTCAGCCTCTTGTCTTTTTTGGTTACTCATTGCTAAAGCAGTCACCTCTTACAGTAACTTCTGCCAACCTAATTTCGGAGGACTTTGACCTCACTCGATGTCTCTCAGAAAGTCTGCAGAGAGAGCGAGAGAACTGGATGCCTTTGCCCTGAATGTTTACCAACTGAGTAACCTGGGGCAAACCTCAGTCTTCGTGATTTTGTCTCCTTTTTAGCTATGAAATTCAGAGAGAAGGCCTGTGCTAGCCTCCTCACAAGATTGTACTGGGATTATAAAGAGGCAAGATAGAGGAAAGCTTTTTAAGTAGAGAAAAGGTGAAAATGCAAAACGATGTTATTATCGTCATTATTCTGAAGTTTAGTGATAAGTCTTGTCTTCTAAAATATATTGTTTCTGGAGAGCTGCATGCCAAAATTTTGATGTCTTCTAATTCTAAACTTGGGAAGTGTGTGTGTGTGTGTGTGTGCGCGCGCGTGTGTGTGTGTGTGTTGTGTATAACATATTTCTATGTTTCTTGATTCTTACATTCAGTAGCAGTGTTTGGTGTGTTCCAGCAGTGCATGGATACATTTTAGATTAAACAGGTTTCTATTTCGTTGCTTATTTATTCCATTCATACACAGGAAAATCCTCCTATTGCACTCTCATCTCCACCGGCTCTGCTCAGCTCCCCAGTGGACTGAGAGCTCCCAAAGACAGGGGCCGTTGTTACCTGTGTTCCTTTCTCCAGGGTCTGCTTTGGGGTCTGACACCCAGCGAGCGATCAATCAGTGTTCTTCAAATGAGTCAACGTAGGGGAGGTAGAAACATATTTACCCAGTTCTGCGAAGAAAGGAATATTTTAAAAAGGAATCCCTGAAGCTTAAAAAAAAACAACCTAAATGGTGCTTTTCTGGGACAAACTGGTTGTTTATTTAGTTTGGTTTGGGTAAGTCTCAGTTACGATTGAGCAAATCTTTAAAGCTCTGAGAGGATATTAAATGAATGCAAGGATAGGACCAGGAAAATGAACATTGTCTTCATAGGTACAAGCATCATGGACTTGGCATGAATATCAAAAGCTTTAAGGAGGCATCGATTTTCACTCTGACCCCCAGCTCAGTGCTGGGCTGCAAAAATCAGGAGCAAACTGACATTTAGTAATGGTTTGAACTTGGTACTGAATAATAATAACAATAATAATAAAAGCTAATATGTAATACAGCACTTACTAGGTAGGAAGCCTGGTTTTAAGTACCTCTTGTGTGAAATAATCAGCATTACTATTTTATTTAGCAGAATAAGAAACTGAGGCACAGAGAAGAGATTTACTAGGGTTATACCAGCAGTTAGTAAAGAGCTGGAATTATGATGCAGGCAGACTCACTCTGGAGCCCGTGGGTTAGTGAGGGTAGGTCTGACTGAACCTTAGAGATGGTGTTACATGGTTTTAGGCCACTGGTGATGTTTCCGCTGTTTACATGGGCATATGACTACCATTTATTGAGTCGCCTACTACAAGAACATGCACTCTTCCAGGTTCTTTATGTATATTATCCTGAATCTTTCTCACAACCGTGCAACATTATTCCAACTCCAGGGCCAGACAAGCTGAGACTGAAAAGTTCAGTAAGTTCCCCAAAGCCGCAGGCTAGTGATGAGAGAGCCATCCACCTGCACCGAGTCTATCTGCCTTCTGAGCTTGTGTGCCACACTGGCCTGGAAAATTGAGTGCTGATGTGCTTGGCTCTTCCATTCAAAAGTGCTGAGAGTCCAGTTATGCTGCATTTGGAAGTGTTGAGCCTGGAAACTCAGTCACAACAACCCCTCAATTTGGGGGTCAGGCAGGGCTCAGCCTCAGCTTCTCTGAACCTGATTTGATTTTTCAGACAAGATCCTCCCGGGCAGGACCAGCCAATTTATCACATCAACTTAGACATGATGGGCGTTTAAACTATTGAGAGCTGTTTCCTTATATTTCCTGTCTGTTTCCCTCCAAATCTGCACTGGGAACTTCAGAGAATGTCTCCCAGGAGGTTGGGGTGGAGTATGGTGAATGCTAGCTTGGGAGCCAAGGGCAGCTTCGCTTCTTCTGGGCAGCTTATCTACCTTTTCTTTGCTTAATGTTTCCAGTTATAAAATGAGGGATAAGAATATAATTTAAAATGGGCTTTTGCTGTTTTTTTTGATTAAACCTTTCCATATGAGTTTGAAACTCTGATTTTTTTTGAGTGGATGACACATGGTTGATTTGCTTTTGAAGGGGTAACACAATTTAAAAGGTTCTTCAGTGAAGTCCCCCTCTCTTCCCTTTCTGCAGGTGCCTCTTTCCCTCTTCCTCACCAAAAGGTGAGTCTTGTTAATAGTTTACTAGTTTTTTCTTCCACCTCTTTCACACTCACGGTGTGCACTATTCTGTACCCTGATCCACAGCTGTATCAAAGTAGGTACATTTTTAGCCTCTCAGTGAACATTTAGGTTGTTTGCAATCTTTTGTTATTTCAGCCAGTGTTGCAATGAGTTAACAGCCTGCCTTTGTTATTTTGCAGAAGTGTTTGCAAGTTGTTGGCTAAATTCCTGGAAGCAGAATTGCAGGGTCAGAGGCTGTGTACGCTTGTGATTTCAATATATATTTCAGAATTACCCACCCCCACCCCACAAGGTTATACCAATTAACACTCCCACTAGGAAATTTTAAAAGAA